ATAGTAGAAAATTGAATCCCTTAAGAAAGTCAAAAACGGCTAATGCGAAATACTGCAGGCTCCGCTTGATTAAGCCTATTCATGGAAAAAGGTACTGTTCTTAAAGCGATCATGTATGTATGTACGAGGGGTTATCCAAATTCGTGGACTTTTTAAATATATTTTGAACGTCAACGTGTATTGTAATGGCATTTTATCAGCATACTTTGTAGAATATTATAAATAAGAGGGGTTAACCAAATGTTCGTGGACTTTCTTTGTTATGTAAAATTTATTCAATGCTTTTTAATGTTTGCAGAAAAAGTTAATGCTTTATGGAACAAAAAATAAAACTGTTACTATTTTTAAAAAAGCATAAACAAATTTTTTTTATTTTGAATCAATTATTGCGCTATGATATTTGTATCTGAACGTTAGACACATCTGCAGCTTGTCTTTCAGTTGACAGGCTGAAATATGACATTGACAACCACATTAACTAGACCCAACTGCATTATAGCAGTCCAATTGTATAGAAACACAAAAATAATCTTATGTTCCTACACTGTTAATTAATATTGTATTAATGCGCTGGCATAACATTTTTCACAAATGCAATCTTGTTCTTTTTATTCTTATCACAATACAAATTTCAAGCCCGTAATTGTATGAATTATAATAAAGTTTTTCTTTGTAGGGAAAATGACATAGCTGTTGGTAAGACTATACAAAAGGTTCTATATCATGCACAATGACCTATAGGAGGTCAGCTACATATTTAATCATTAGAATAAGGCACTGCTTAGATTTATTGTGACTTACTTACCTCTGAAATTACCTAAAACTAGCAAAAAATTATAAAAGCATTTTTTGGGGATTTCACTGTTCTGTTATTACTTTTATCGTGTTCTAAAACCATCTAAACATGTTTAAAAATATTAGACAGTTTTAATTATGAGAATATTTCAATATGAAAAATGAAGCAGCCGTTTTTAAACATAACTTAACATAATTATACATTTTGTATAAGGTTTGGCGGCCATTTTTAGCTTTGACAGCCATGTTGATTTTTTGATAGATTTTCTTCATGCTTATATGTTTCAACAAACATGTAATATTATGAATTGGTGCTATTTCACACTGATCTGGTATTGACTACAGCTGAAAGTATAATATTCTGAAAATTTTAATATGGCAGCCACGTGGATTCACAAAACCTGGATATAAATAAAAATGTAATTTGATAAATCGGAGCTATTTCATACTGTTCTGTAATGACTACAACTGAAGAACTACAACATTCTGAAGATTTTAACATGGCGGCCATCTTTGATTTTTGCGGCCATCTAGGATTCGTATAACCTGGATCCGAGGCTTGATAATAAATAAATGTGTAATATATTGGTGCTATTTTATACTATATTGGTAATGGCTACAGCTGAAAAATATATTGTTCTAAAAATTCTAATATAGCGACCCTCTTGGACTTTGGTGGCCATATTGGACTCGCACAACCCGGATTCCAAGCTTAAATGAAAAGTATTTTATCAACCAACAACTGTGCCAAGTTTCATGCTTTTCACAAGAGGTGCACATTTTGCCCTTTTTTATGCAACGATTTCTTGGACTATTTTTTCTCTCCATGAATGTACAACTGTGTGTGCATTTTTATGCAAGAATGCCAGTTTAGTAGTGTTTATATATATGAATTTGTTTGTTTGTTTGTTTGTTTCATTTTACGTCTTTTCCCAACAGTATTTCAGTCATATAGGCGGGTAGTTTCCTAACCATCGTTCCTGGAGAGTTACACCAAAGTACCAATGAAAGCATCTCCCGAGGATCGTACCCACGCCAGTGAGGTAACTGGCTTAGAAGTCATCGACTCTAACCCCTCGACCACGGAGGCGGTATATATATATGAATAGTGCTGATCATATGAATAATCTTCATCATGCAAATTTGTCCAAAATTTAATGGCGACCATTTTGGATTTTGAAGCCATATTAAATTTTCTACTGATGCTTGTAAAACATTATTCCCAGCAGTTATTATAATTTACCTACTATGTCATTTTTTTCATTTTTATGGCTTAAGTAACTCCATTGTTTCATGTCCCACATACATTGTATATTTTAGCGGCCATCTTGGATTTTTGCGGCCATCTTAGACATTAAAAAAGTGAATCCCAGGCTGAAGTAAAATGAAATACAATTTCCTGCCACTATGCCAAGTTTCATGTTTTTCAAAAAGGGTGCACAATTATTTCAGTGATTTCTTGTACTAAAGTACGAACATTCAAATAAGTAGTGAAATTCATCACCAATAGCTTGATGGGGATATAAGGAACAGAGCCTTTTATTATAATCAATTGCCAAATGTCTGCCTTTTTTAACTCATTGTTCTTAATTTACACTAATATTTGCCTATGTCAAATGAAAGTTCATCTGGATATTTTTCAAAACACCGAATATTTTTATATGTACGATACACTAAGCACTTAGAAGATATATCAATAGCATTATGCCAATCTTGTAAAAAATGATCATGTAGTCTAAGCTTCACAATTCTTTTAAAGAGTTTTATATTATCTACTTTCTGTAGATAAACATATCTGACATAACAAGATCATTAAGCGTTCCTTTCACAAATGTTATCCATTTAGAATTAACAATATTTATTGAGGACAAAGACAACATAATTTTATACACAAATTTACATATCTTATTTTCCTTAGCATTAATAATTTAGCTCAAGAAACACAAAACGCTTGCTTTTACTTGCAAGACTAATGGAAATATGCCCAATTCACCATAAACCATAAAAGCATATATAGCCGTAGAAGCTCTAAATTTCAAAATAAACTTACAAGAAAACAATTGAAATTTCTCTAAAATTTGAACTTGTTCGGTTCCCTAAACTTCACTTCAATAAAGAAGGATAGTTATAATCATATTGATAAATATAATCAATTGCAAAGAAAACGGTAGACATAATTTACAGGACTTTTAGATCACAGAAAACAATGCTTTTCTAGCAATATCAACAAGATTGTTTTTATTTCAATTTAGAGTACTTCAAGGTAAGTAAAGTTGGGATACGGATAAAAGCCCCCCCCCCCCGGACGAAAGCCCCCCAGGCTAAAAATGACAAGGTGGTCAAAAGCCCCCCCCCCATGAAATTTCCAGATAGGACAAAAGCCCCCCCCCCCATGGTCCACCAAATTTACATATAGTGTAAATGAATAAATATCTGCCTTTTTCAATTAATTTGGTTATTTTGTTATATATATATAATTAGAAAACATATATTTGTATAGGTATGTTTTTTTTTCAAATAAATATGTATGGACATCACATGTAGGTGTCATAGTGCTAAGGATATTAATTTGATCCCTTTACAAAAGTGATAAAACATTACTACTCTCCTGACGCTCGTTGTGTATATGAAAAACTATGAAATCAGTATCGCATGCATTATTTCATCTGTTATCATACTTTGTTATCACTTTAATATATACATTATAAATAAACATTAAAACAAATTGTTTTAATTTTTATTAATTCATTTACACTATATGTAAATTTGATGGACCATAGGGGGGGGGGGGGCTTTTGTCCTACCTTTACTTTTTTATGGGGGGCTTTTGTCCTATCTGGAAATTTTCATGGGGGGGGGCTTTTGTCCACCTTGTCATTTTTAGACGGGGGGGGGGGTTCGTCCGGGGGGGGGGCTTTTGTCCTACACCCAGTAAAGTTATCTACTAAATCAAGCTTTTACCATTATATATAAAATTAAAATCATCCTTAGATTTTGTTTTACTAAAAAACACTATTTAAGTCTTAGTTTCATGAATAACAAGATTCCATATTTTACAGTTATCACTCATAAAAAAATAAACAGACAAGCCACACAAACACGAACATTCAGTAATCACTCATGGCATTTAAGGCGTTTTGCAGATCAGTTTTGCTAACTGCTAAAAGTAATGTATCATCAGCATATAACAAAAGAAACAATTTAACAAAAGCATCAATGACATACTAAGACATTCACGAGTTGTGTTAGAGATATTGACAAGTCCTGTGTAGTTATAAGATACAAATTCTGACAAATAGTTAAAAAAGTAGAAAACAAAATTGGTGAAAGATTTTCACCTTCACATACACCGGTAAAAATACTAAGAAACAAGTCAACTCACAGTTTACTTAAACACAATATTTAGTGTTACTGTACATATTGTGGATTATACCAAGGCACTTACCATCAGTATTATGTGACAATATGAGCCGTGTAGTGACAAAACCAACATAATGGGTTTGCGACCAGCATGGTACCAGACCAGCCTGCGCATCCGCGCAGTCTGATCAGGATCCATGCTGTTCGCTATCAGTTTCTCTGCTTGTGACGCGGCTCATATAATATGCAATGAATGAAATCAAATGCCTTCCTATAGTCAACAAATGCATAGTAAAGTTATTTATTACAACTTAAATACTAATCAATTAACATCTTTAAGGAAAATATGTGATCAGTACATATTGTGATCTGGACCCAGTTTTTTCTTCGTTTAGTAAAGTGTGACATTCCAAATACTCATTCAGTCTATTATTTAATATATTGGTAAAACGTTTGCCAAAAAAAATAACCAACATAATATGGTAATCCCTCTATAATTGATAGATACCTCCTCTGACCTTTTATTAGAATAACAATAGATTTAACCACAAACATTGACATGTGCTCTATTGTAATCAAATATGTTGTGGTAAAATTCTTATTATATCTGATAATTAAGATTAGACATGTCAGGGATCTATGCATTGTTGTGATCAGATAACCCCCCCCCCTCTTTATTCTTATATATAGGATTAATAATACCCTGAAAATAGCGGATAAATACGTTTATTTACGACGAGGAAGTAGTCGGGGAGCTTATTCATCTCTTATAGCGCTGGAGTATGCTGATCCGAAACATGATGGTTTGATAATGTAAGGCTAAGAAAGTAAACACGAACAATGAGTTATCCACACTTGGTATTGCTACTCTTAAAACACCAGTTATGTTTTGTCGTTTAACAAAATGTCTTTGTTAAAATACATGTTTACACTGTTAAATCGGCAAACTCAGTCCAAGAATGCAATATTGGAGTTTACATACAAAGAAATACAATTTTATTTTGTCCGTTACCAAACTGTTCAACTCTGATCAACAAGGCTGGAATTTTGGCAACGACGAGCCTTCAATTATTGGCGTTGTCGGTCGTGTCTTGCGGATGCAAATGTCCTCTTCGAACAAGGACTAATAGGGAAATAATCACCAGGACAACTATAAATACACCTGAAAATAATACAATAACTTACAGATCTACTCGGTTATAATAAAAATGAAATAAGAATACCGTAATTAAAAAGATACAACAGCTAGTTTCTTCGGTCAGAATTAAAATACGCTTTAAAGCAGCATACCTGCAGATTCTCATAAATTAATATTTTGAAGATGTAGGTCTATCAAGAAGTAAAATGATACATGTATTGTCAAGTGAACAAATGAAACAATTTACACTTACACACTATGAAATTATCAAACATGAGTCAGAATGTATGTAAATTTTTTACATGCATGTATCTGCAATGATGTCAGATTATAATAAACGTCACGCTATAATATGTCACATTATAAAATATCACACTACTTGCATAAAATGGCCATATTATAAGATTTCATAGTATATAGTGACACACTATATGATGCCACACTATAAAATGTATGTCACACTATAACATGTCACACTTTAAGATGTCACACTGTAAGATGTGCCACATTATAAGATATCAGTGTATAAGGTGACACAATATAAAATGTCACACTTAAAGATGCCACACTATAAAATGTCTCACTTTAAGATGTCACACGTTAAGATATGTCAAACCATTAGACCTCTTTCTGTAAGGTGAAACACTGTACAGTGAAACACTTTAAGATGCCACACTATATGTGGGATATTATCATACCTACAGCTATGCCGACCACGATTCCAACACTCAGACCAGTTTATGATTCTACTTCTTTTACTGAAATAAAGACACATGTATGTCAATTAGCACATGATTTTCCACTCACACTCAAACAACTATGTTCTAAGACATTTAAATAATTAGGACCCTAATTGGAAGTTTTAGTAATTTTTGTAAAATTACTTGTTTCCGTTTAGGGGCATTACCCCTTTCTCCTTGAATAATGCAGGAGCGATCAGTGATCCCATGTGTTGCCTCATGATAACCATTTGCATGTTGCAGCTGTGTAGCAGAAGACACAAAATCATTAACATTGCAAAACACTTTATTTTCAAGGGCTATAACTCAGCCGAAATATTCAATCGGAAAATATGTTTAAGGTATTACCATCCTAATGCATTACCTCCGCTTTGAAGAGTATTCAAATAGGCTAAAACTACTGTTAACTACATTGGAATGAGGGCCGTGGGTTCAATCCCCAGAAGGGTCAACTTTGTTTTTCTTCCTTTTTTTTCTTTTGATATTATTGATGTATCTCTCATGTCCCATTTGGAAAGAAAAAAGTGTTTAATTTTGATTTTTTAATTCATATAGGTATTTATTGGCTAAATTATGCTAAATCTAGTAATAAATATGGTACCTGATATTTTAAGTGTAATAAAATCAAAACAAGACAGTAAAAGTATTTCATATTTAACAAGATCAACCAATATACTTCTTTAAAAATTTAGGGAAACTTTGAAAACAGGCACTCATTTGGGTAAATTTTAAAGATTTTTTTAAATTAGGCTCCCTAAGTAGGAAAATGGTCAGACACGTGGTAAAAATGGGTGGGGTAGGGTAACATTTGTTATACAGATTTCATAAATTTAAAGTAGAAACCATAATTTTGCTTATATGGATTGTTAGCTGAATAGTACTATTTGTTTCTTACCAAAAATTAATGGAAACACATTTTTCATTATAATGTTATTGCAGATTATTTTAAGGTTCCTCATTTCTAAAAAAGGGCCCTCATAACATTCTAGTTTGAGTTCAGAAAAGTGGATATAACTTGATTTCCGTACGGTAAACTTTGTTTAAATTTTGCATACAGGTGTACTTTAAGGTATATATCTGACCTATGCTGTCATTTTTTTAGTTCCTTATAGTGCCCATTAGAGTGGTAAACCTTGATATGTACAAGTACTTGAGGTACCTATCAATCCTGTAAAGTTTCATTCAAATTGCATTAGTAGTATATGAGAAGTAGTCCGAACAAAACTTAAAAATAAAGATCATTAAAGGGCAATAACTCGTTGAACCTTAAAATATTAATACTATGCACAACTAGATTTCTTACTGACAATTCCTGTAAAGTTTTAATGAAATTGCAGCAGAAGTTTCTGATGAGTAGTCCCGACAAGTTTTGTGACGGAAGGACAAACGGACAGGCAGCCATTCGACGGAGAAGTTATCCCTATATGTTGCCACTACCCTGTAGAGGCGACACAAAAATGCATTTATGATTTGTTGTTATGTACCAGCCTTTATGGAAAAATATGACAACTGTTTTCCAAAAACACACAAGAAAAATCGCGTTCCGTTAAATCCAAAATACACATTGAAGTGTTGCAAATACACCTACAGGATGGTATCCGAAATGTCTGTTTATATTATATAATAATTTACATAATAAGTTTAAAAAAACTCAAACCAATATACTGTATCTTGAACGTAGAGAAAAATATATTTGTTCCGTTCAGATGAATTATTAAACTCAAAGTGTATGATAACAGGTATTGCTTTTGATTACAAGCACTGACATGTTTAAATTTGTTGTTTGCGTTATGCTTTACGTCACTCCAACACTGTTAAGGTCATATTGCGACTTTCCAGCTTTCCTGGTGGAGTTCACTACTATGCTTTATTTCTGAACTTCCTTGAGCTGGCTAGGTAGCCTCCTCACATGGAACTATCCAAAGTAACTGGCGGGATTCAAACCCGAACTAAATTGGTGAGGGACCAGTGATTGAAAGTCAAGGACCATGTAGTTCCGTGTTTAACTTCGGCTGTATTTGTTTATATACTTACAAGTCCTCGCCGTAAGCTTCAGTCGTGGATTTTTCTTATCACCAATTTGTGATGTAAAATCAAGCAATTAGTCCGTATCAGCGTCCAGGTTAGCCACGTCAAAATATGTGTTTGAACCAGGAATAACATTAGTAACTAATTCAATATTCCCGTTTGCAGACTGGAAAATAATGTTAAAATGTTCTAGTAAGAGTGGGCAAAAGTGGGCGTGGTCAGCTTATTTGAAACGATAGTAAGAATCGCCAGGAAAAATCGAATTTAACTCGTCATATTTGATAAAGTATAAATGGCAATGAAATTCTTCAAATAGTGTATTTTAAGGTATGAATAATGAAACCCCGCCATTGAAATTGTATGCATATTTAACCCCTCCTTACCAATTGTATGAATATGAAATTCCGCCATTTAAATTGTCTCCTTGTCTAATTGTATGAATATGAAACTCCTCCTACTAGATATAAGAGTAGATAGTACCGTAGAAGTATTTAGTCCCTCCTTTCATAGGATATGGACAATCTCCTCTCATATACCTAATGATATCAACAATAAACACCTATTCTTACCTTCTTGAACAACACTAAAATAATTGAAGTTTGTATAGCATAGCAGGACAATTGTGTCGGTGAGTCCCAAACTATTCGGAAACTTCCGGTTTTCACGTTTTCTACTCGTACATACTCAGGTCCATTATCTATAAAAACAAAACAAACAAAAATTGTAAAATTAGAACTGAAAAGAACAAGTTTTCTTCTTTAAAAAGAAGCATGCGAGAGGTCTTTTTGCTGGTGTGGAAAATTTGTTTAATTCGAAAATATTTGGGGATAATTTTGCATAAAAGTCACAAGGAGGAATGCTTATAAATTACAATTATTTAACAAAATAGAAATTATTATTTATATTGAATATGGTATCATAATGAAAGTTTGTTTTACACTTCATTTTTTTTAAATGTTCTGATTGATTATATGCCGGAGAAATGGACTTTTTCTTGGCACATTAGGGAGGGAACAATTTCGTATGTCATCAAATTAAATTTAATATAAATAATATACACATGTATATATCACAGATATATTTAGCTCCATGTATGTATATATATATTTGATATATATATTAAAAGCAGTATCTCAATAAAAGTTTTAGAACTAATAAAATTCAATAAGCACATTTTCGGTTAATGTTTTGGTAAGTATATGGAAACATTTAATTTTCCTCTACATTTTCAAAAATGGGCATAAAGTTTGTTAATCAAACAATTTTAAGTCCTAGATTTACTTAAACAATATTTATATCATTTGATTAGAATAAACAGTATATAAAGCTGCATGCCTCCAACCACAATATTTGAGGAAAATCTTGAGTAAAATTTGTGCCACTTGCGCCAAAAAATCTCCGTTACGTTATTTAGTCATACCGGTTCAAAAGTTTAAGGAGCAGCAAAATTTCGGTACACGGTCCACCCGGTCATATCATAGTGCATGGTGATATTGTAACTGTAAAGTTCACTGTTATTATTTATCGGAACATGAAATAGTAAAAACGCTTTTCAGAAAACAATACAGTAATATTTATACAATTTAAAAGATTAAAGCGAAGTGGAACATCCACGTAGCGATATTGTCCGTTTTTCCTTTGTACCGATTTGTTCACTTCGATGTTAATTTTTCGTTCAAGTTAAGTCGTATTTTGAAACGGAGCATGCGCAAAACAATTTTTGTAGACTGCTCCTAATGAATTTACGCTTTAAATGAGATTCGTTCACTACAATCAGATACGCAAAAATGGATGCCGTCAGCAATCAGTCTGAACACTGTGGAGATGTCTGATGACCTCTCCAATAATAAACATTTATCTTTTAGTCTCTGTAAAGGGTGTAGAATATAGCTTAATATACACATCCAATTCTTTCGTTAAATGCGTATAATTTAAGCAATTTATTTGATAGCTTATTTTGAAAAAATGAAAAATTCGAGACTCAGCAGAATATTCTTGCGAATCAAATATGATGCGCGACATGACTTCATGAAGTTTCAAATGAAATCGTTTTTGTTTTTCAAGGGTCAAACCCCCAGAATTCGGGTCAAATAACACCTTAAATTTAGTCTGTCCCAGTGACCGACGAGAGAGAGAGAGAGAGAGAGAGAGAGAGGTTGAGGGAGAGAGAGGGAGAGGGAGAGAGAGAGATTTGACAAGGTTTGACAAGGATGAACCTTATTATAGACGGTATTGATAAATTTTGTTACCATCCAGGCACCGCGACACCAGACAAAAGACCTAGCATCGGTTGAAACACCTCCAGCACTGGTTTGAGCGAACTTCAACATCTAAAGGTAAAATAATAAAACGAGATTATAGTTGACTGTCAAATAGAATTTATCTATCTACATATTATAAACTTTTTATATCGTATGGCCACTACAAATATATATAATTATGTAAAAAATTTATGAAGTTTTCGTTGTTTAAGTTTTGACGTTTAACGCCTTCCTTGGGGTTCCCGTTTTGCCATTCCACATATCAAGATAAGGTGTATCAATGTTCTGTACTAGTAGTGAAAACTTAAGATGGACAAAAATAGGAATAAGCATTTCATTACTTTATTATTTTCAAAGAAGTAATAATTTTTTTTTTTGAATATTAACATCACCATCTAGTCTTCCCTATTCCAGTAACATTTCAATGTTATTGTTTTAAGGTCATTGAGTTACAGTGACACTTTACTACAGGAATTTCCTTTTGCCAAATAAGTTATTTATCGTTTATACGAAGTAAATTATACAGTCGAATGCGATTATGGCAAAAAATGTGATTTTGACTTTAACGTGTTCACGTATTATATACCCTCGGATGGGCATTATGTCACGCTAAGGAATGTTAAGATTGACTTGAAATGACATGAGTTTTCGTGTACTACACCTTACTTTAATTCACTAAATTACCAATTTAAATTATGATTCTAAAGCTGTTTGAAAAAAAGGAATGGTATA